AGCGGCATATAACGAGGGCCAGGAGCCAGAGTATTCACTCTCTGAAGATGGGTAGACGAGATAACTATCCGAAACGTCAGATCACAAATAAATCTCTCCCGGTGAACGCCCTTTCTCCTTCTGACTATCGCTGTGTTTATACAATTCCGGGCCCTGCCAATCCAGTGAGAGTACACGTACGTGCATGTCCCAAAAGTTAGTTGAGAAGACGTAGAAGCGAACGCTTGAATAAGAACTTGACATTTTGCTTTCATGCTCGAACTCATCATCAGGGAAAGAGTATTCGATAGAGTTTCTCATTTTTCCTCCTTTCTGTGCATTCACATTAATAGAGGGCTTCAATTGCTTGAAAACTGACGAGTACACTAACTTATTCCCGAGCCGTTTCCGTTTAATGTTTGAGCAATTATAGGCGTTTCTCCAGCTGAGGCCTTTAAATCTCACCATTGAGGATCCACTGCGAATATTTTCACAGATTCCGATTACATGGCTCTTGAAAGGCAGAACCCATCTGTAAGTATGTAGAGTCAAGGATCTAGGATCCTGAAGTACCCAGTTAGCTTATCACAGGGGGCCAAGTAAGTGAAACCCTAGCGACTGCGATCTTCAGGCCCGGTTCCTTAGGAGAAGAGAAGACGTGGAAGATGAGAGTGGGAGGACCATTTTATTCTATACAAAAGGAAGTGGAAAGTAGGCAGGAGGAATTTCACTGTCAGCAAAGTGAGCAACCGCCAACCAGCAGACCGTGTTTGAAGTGAAGTGACCGGAGGAATCGCAACGGCGTCTATAGCGGTCTTTTTGTGGGTCGGCCTTGACGAGTGATTGGCCAGACCAGGGAGACAGACAGGCCTGTGATTGGTTGTCCGAGGGCCAGAGATCAGCAGCAGTGGGCGTTAGCGCCTGGGCGTCTGCGTGGAGTGAGTCACTACAGGCTCACCAATTGTTTCCTGAAACTAACAGTACTTTTCATCTTTACTACAATTTTTAAATTCACTTATGGCTCCTTTTCGGGCGGACGGCGTTTTGAAATTGAGCCGCCAGTTTTTACTGCTCTCCATTCAAATCCAAATTTTCTTAAAATTAGTTAATAAGTATTTACGGTTGCCCTTAGTCCGTATTGATCGGCTGTTTTCTCCTCCAACTTTCATTGAGATGTTTGTACACTCCATCCAACTCGATATGTCACTTGATGGATGGATAATCGGATTGTATGGCTCCAAAAATTCTCGGCCTTTGTTGGAGGGGCAAACTGTGGTGATGCGCGTTTTGTCCCATGCGAAGTTGTGCACCATATCAGGACAATGCATACCCACTCGGGACAGAAGGTCACACATCTTCACTGCCAGTTGGTGCTTGTGGGTGCGTGTAGAGACGGACGTTCATGTTTGGCCGCACGGAAACATCCAGAAATGGCAGTTTAGTATTAACCTACTTCTCGAGCGTGAATGGAATATCCATAAACTCAACCATTCCGAGAATTCAATTCACGCTAGAGAAGGAGGTTAACAATAAACTCCCACATCTGGATGTTCTCGTACAGCGAAAGACTGACGGAACTTACAAACGTCCTTCTACAGCAAATAAACATATGCGAAATTTATTATTTACTATGAGAGCAACAACCCCATCTCTCACAAAAGGAGTGCCGTCAACAGTTTGCTACGCCGACCGAAGACACACTGCTCTGACGAAGAAACCTACCGAACCGAGTTAAATTATCTGTTTGATTCGTTTTCCCGCAATAGGCAGCCCAGAAACATTGTACACCGAGGCTTGAAACAACAAAAATCCACAGAACAGGAAGTAATTCTACGCAGGCGCCAAAAATAAATACATGGATCCTTCCTTATATAAGGCATGTGTCTGAACCCATTGAAAGGCACTCGCGGAAATGCAAAAAATGAGACTACAAACCGAAAGAAAGTTTTAAACCTATTCTCCAAAATCCTGACAACAAACGAAGAAATGGAACTGAGAAAAGGCATGAAGTACAACCCATCGGATTCCAATTATCTCGACTTCCTTGTCAGCCTCAAATCAATCATAGCGTCAACAAGTCTAACAGAAGAAGAACAATTCAGCATTCGCAACAGCACTCTGCATGCCTTAAAGGACCGAATTAAACGCTGAATGTTATCATACGATGAAATAAAGACATCAGCTACACTCAACCAAGAAAAAGACATCATGATTTTATCTGCCGAAAGAAGAGGTGCTACTACCATTGTGAACAAAGTTGCCTACATAGAAAAGATGACGTCCATCTTAAATGACGTCCACACAAAATCGGAAAATCCTTACATTGATAAAACGTTAAAAGGCCTAAAAGGAAAGAAATTAATCTCAGGACCTCTTGCTAAATCCTTAAAACAGGATGAACTCACTACTGCCACTACTAGAGATCTACATTACTGATGTACCTAGTGGAACTTTACTTCAACTACTTGACCTTTTTCTCGAAGCCAACTTTTCCTTCCGCGATCGATGCTACCAGCAACTCAAAGGGGCCCCATGTTTTCGCCCAGATCCGGCTTCCTGGCTAAAACTATAATGCAGAAGTTGGAATCAATAGCTCGTCCTACGAGTCAACCAACATTCTGGCTACGCTATGCAGATGACACCTTTGTCATCATCAAGAAGCATCACTTAGACGTCCTCCACAATAATTCTACATTTCCAGGAATTGAATTCACATACGAAATGGCGGTCGGCGGACATCTGCCATTTTTGGATGTCCTTGTACATCGAAATACTGATGAATCACTCCGTAATCAGTTTATCGTAAAGAAACGTATTCAAACTTTACCCTACATTTTGAAAACAACCACCCAATTTCTCACAAAAGGAGTTCTGTCTACAGCCTCCTAAATCGAGCCCAAACCCACTACTGTGATGAAGAAAGTTACCATGCAGAAATAAAACACATCTTTCAACAAGTATCCAAAAGTGGATATCGAAGAAACTTCATGCGTCAGTGCATGAAACGATAGGAATCCAAACAAAAGGGCATTTCAACTGATAATACCACCCAGGCTTCCAAAACAATGACCTGTCGAACTACCAGTTGGCCCTGGAAACACAAAAAATGCACTCGAGTACGGCGCAAATATTTCACATCCACAATGGATATAGCAGGTGGACCATAAGCACTTAATCGATACGAAGTTCATCGGTGCTTCGCCATCTGTCATTCTGTCGCCGCACATTGGATATTTATTCAAACAGGAATGGAGGCACATCAATCTACTGGGTTTACGAAGCAAACCGGTTCCATATGGGTGACAGAAAATTGTCCAGACAAGTTCTATCTGCAGTTGCCTATGAACGAATACGGACACTTGCAGGAGGAAGATTGCCACGTGAGTCATTGGCAAGTATTTCTAATATTAGCAAGATCACTCTGTGTTGCATTATTAATGACAAACCTGTGCCTTGAAGTAAGCAAGCTAATCCAAAACTGCCCAGGCATAAGCATAATGACGATTTAATTGCTCGTACACCAAAAGAGTAACATTATATGTGTCTTAGAACTAGTCACAGCGACAATTTGTCAGTTATCTTTCTGTGCCTAATTAGAACAAGGATAAAAGAAGTTGGCGTTCATCGGCAGAATGCTAGGAAAAGCCGTCTGTCCGTAGGAAACTTATTGAAGGACTTCTTTTCCATTCGCTTAGGAGTATATCAATCGCAGCCATTCACATTGGAAAAGTATTATTTCTGTGATGACGTTTTTTTAGATAAGCCTCTGAAGTCGGCCCAGGTGATCATATATGGGAAGGACTTATTCTGAGAACACGCTGTGTCTACAGCAATTCCCACGAATTGTCGACGTCTGATGGTTCAGATGACCATCAAGTTCGGAGAGCGACCGATCTGGCAGTCAACAAGAAAAACCATTGACAGGAAGGTGTTCACTGACCTCGTAAAGAAGGCCTTCGTTTATAACGGCATTCACCGAAGCCGAATGAAAACCATAATGTTGCACGATAACGTCCTGGTAAAATCCTAGTTTGGGTCCAAAATCAGTAAGCGAAAGTCCCATCCTCCTGTAATACAGAACCTTGTGAAATAGAGAGTATACCGTCTGGGCAACACAAGGGAAAGGAAGTATAAATAAAAAGATAAAGTTTGTAAAATCAGAAAAACAGAAACAATTATTTAAATGTTCTAATGTTTGTCAAAAAATATGGGAAACATATATTAGAAATTACTAAATTAAGAAAGAACTAACTAAAACTAAAATCAACTAACAAAAGACATTACGTGAATTAAGCTAAAATGACAATTTGGTCGTATCTACGCCCTCCAAATTTACCGCAGTTTTACAAGCTAAACGGTCGAAAACGGTGACCATTATTACTCAAGTCCTCATCGATTTTGCAGAGGACGCCTTCGGTTTTAACGGCATTGACAGCCGCCGTAATGTTGCAGGATAATGCTCCTGTTCACTGCTCAAAGAAAGTATGATTCCGAATTAACTTACGACTATAATTTTCTTTTTAGACCGCAGGCAACCTCTCCGCCTGTTAGTTGCAAAGCATTTTCATTCCTCCTAACAGACCGGCCGTGTTCGCACGCAAAAATTGGCACAAGCCGGATTTTGCGCTCAATAATTGCACAAGTCAGTCTACCATAGAAAACTTGGTTGTTTCTACGTCAACCCGGAATGCAACAATCTGACACACAAAAGGACAACCAACAAAGTCCCATCATGCCATATATGTTATTGTTTTGCATTATTTTCGCCTTTTACTTTAATTTCCTTCTCTGCTACCAGTTACAGTAGGTCTGAAACAATAGACCTGTCACGAAGTTGTCCTTTTGCTTTGACGGTTTTCAATAAAATAAATTATTCCTCAGTTAATAACTGATGATTTGTAAACCCAACTATGTGTTGAATGTTCACATTCCAGCCATGTGCGTATAAGTAAGGAAGGCTCGTCGGTGCCGCAATTATGGCTTCATTCGTCTGAGGTTCCCAACTCTTACTGGAGTCCATCGTTACACCTACGGAACGCGTCACGAGTTTAACTTGGCAGCCCCGAGGATAATAGCTCACGCCAGAAGCAAGATAAGCCGGGAATTGACTGAAGCTTGAGCATCCGATGAGAACTCAGTCAATCTATTTATTGATCTGGCGTCGGAATACAGAGCCCTGCGCAGTCATATACGGACTGACGTCATTGGTGCTTGATTGGCTACAGTTCCCTATAACTGTTGCTTGTTTTTCGTTGCCGCTATTACCTCTTACGATGGACTCCAGTAAGAGTTCGAAAACTCAGACCAAAAAACCATAATTCTGGAGAGCGACGAGTTTTCCTCATCACTTTTACCCAAATGTGTCTCCCTTTGAAGAACGGTCGTTCTTCTAAAACATTATAGCTTTCGTTAATGCGAAGTGGGCAGTAGGGATGCTACACTTGTTTTTGTAAGAAGTTTGTGGCCTTTCGTATGTTAGTTTGCGAATTGGACGTACACTTGGCAAGGTTTGTGTGCCTGATCCCGCCTCCTGTCTTCTTTCCTGTGTCTTAAAACCGGGCTTGGGTTGGCGGGGGAGGTGAGAGTGCGATGGCTGCAACGCAAGTCTACTATCAATTAAAAGTAATCCACGCGCAAGTCATCATCCCTACACCACCACGCTGTGAAGCACACGGTGGGCATAGTCTGAATCGACGGTCAAAATGTCATATGCATGAGCATTTGATGCACTGAATTTAATTCACTGATTCGTGTTCTTTATCGCTTATTTATGTTCTTTATTCTTGGTAAATACATAAGATATCATAGTTACGACCTTGAGTGTTTGACTGAACTAGATTTCACTACCAACTATGACAAAAGATCAGTATTTGAGACACAAGTTTTGTACAAATGGAAACTTATCCATCAAACCGCGCTCAGAAAACCGTTTGATGAAATACTGAAAGAAAAGACGGTAAATTTCGTAAAGGAGAACAACGGCAAAAACACCGAAAAACTGTGCGAGCGTGGATTACTTCCAAAGAAAGAAAAGGTGTTAGTACATCAAAGGATTACGCATACATAAATAAGGGAAATCGACCTGCAAAATATATAGAAACGAAGGCTTATGAATTGCGCGGTATAGTTCGCTTGTAGAAGGGGTTTACGCCATAAGGCCTCCTCCGCATTTTTACCTTCAACAACTTGAAAGGAGTTCTTTATTTCCCATCCTTTTTATATTATATTATCTATACTAATAATAACAATCATCACCCCTGACACGAAAACTCTTATTGTATTAAAATAACAACAAAGAGTGGGTCTGTCGAATTTATAATTTTCTTACGAAATTGCTCCGTTGACAGACGGCAACCACTTGGAGCATATAGAGGTACATGAAAAAACATTATTTATATGAAGGAGTGAGGATGATTTATAGAGGCTCCCAATGAAGGAGACTTTGAGGTTTAAGGTTAAGCTTAAGTTTGGAGTTAGTATTCATGGTAATGTTAAGACTAGGACCACGGTTTGGGTCTTCGGGTTAGGAGGCTGGAATATTTACGTTAACTGGCTACTTTCATTACTTGGTCAGGTCGTTTTTTGGGACTCATACAAGTAATTCCCAGCAAAATAAGTCAAGCAGGCAGGTTCATCAGAAACACTGCATTGACAGTGGAACACGGTTTGCAGGTGACGGCAACAAAACCATAAAGAGTCCCTCTAGTCGTCCATGACTTTCTTGGTATTTGACCGTCTGCCTGGGCTTTAGACGCAAAGGTCAAGAGAAGCCGGAATCGCCCATAATACGTCCAACAGATAGGTCATATCCCTAACCGGTGTGATGTTTGTTGTTGCGGTTGGGAAGGGATACAAATAAAGTAGCAGAGCAGAGGCAACAAGTCGGCCAACGTGGTGTTTTCTCCCACTGACGCCTTAGTCAAGTTTAAAAATGACACAAGTGCACTCCGACCAGCCGCTTTCATGAGCTGCCACCATAACAGCAATCATGGCATGGTAATAACCTCGTTTCGGGCTCACTACAGAAAGAGAAATCTCCACTATTCTGTAATACGGGACCGGTGGTAATAGGCGTTAAATGAGTTAGGCATATCACGAAAAATAAAACATAATTAAAAAGTAGAACGTACGAAACTAGAAAAAACTAGGAATACTTATTTAAATAGCGCAGTTAAAATTAAAAATACAACCAGTAGGAAAAACGAACTGACCACTTGCATCTGCGAATTGGATAGAACCACATATGGACACCATTTCGAATTGAACTTTTTTAAAGTAAAACCATGAATTATGGGCTTCTCCCCATTTTTTAAAACTCAGAATAGATTCTAAGGCGTTTGGACGAATACCGTAGCGCGATAAGCCAGAAAGCAACCGCATGCCACCAAAAAAGTAAACCTAAAATAAACTTAAACTAAACTAGTTGAAAATGAACTAAACTTAAAACTAAAGTAAGCTAAAATTAATAAAAATAAATAATAAACTAAGATAAAGCAAACTCAACCGAGCTAACTAAACTAAAACTAATAAAAGTAAAAGAGACCGCAGGACGCTAAAGAAATCCGTGTGGAAAGCGCAATGTGGGAAGACTATGCCGTACCTTTGTGGTGAGAAAACATACTTACTGGTAGGAAATAAGTAAGCAGTTATTCGAATTAATTGCCGGTGAGCCCGAACCCAGACTGTCACCCACGTCAGCAGCTACTCAGTACACCTTGTATGTGCTCTGAGCAGAATATTATTCGAATAACACCCTGCCTCCTTCTCCGAGGAACGTAGACCCAGTGTTGAGTCACGTCCGCGTATCCTGCATATTGCTACGATTAAGGTCCGGGATTTTGATGACAACGTGTGCATACGAACGGAGACCGGGCGTATAGGGAAAAGAA